TATTATTATTTGTGACATGGCTCAAGATGGGAGACTGTGAGGAGAGTGAAGATGACAGAACTGGTGCTAACCACGGTGACAAGAACTTGAAGAGCAGCCGACATGACATCTTTCCTATCATGCTGCCGAGAATGTCAGCTTTGTGAAGGACAGTGAGAAAATGGTTTGCCCAAAACTTGAAAGGTGGATTCCAGAGATGCCAGCTGTGTCAGATGCAATATAGTCTGCTGTGGTTGCAGAGACCCACTTCGGGCTCCGGTGATGGCCTGCAGGTGGGAGAGCTTCCAGTATTCGGCAAGGCTCCAAAAATGACTACACTTGACCTGCATATTGTCTCAGGTTCCTGGGATCATGATATACAAGAAGTGAGGTTAGCCAGTGTGCAGTTAGGTGGAACCAGAGGCTGGGGGCTGTTTATCTGTGTGTGTGCCTGTGCTTGCACATGTGTGTGTACCCGTGTGTGTATTTCTAAAGCATCTAGAGGCTTTGGAGGAGCTTTTGTGTAAACCAGAGACATGGGTGGGGGGATGTGTCCTTTGTGAACTTACATTGTTAAGACAGGAAAAGAAAATGGAATTGAGGTAGCTGCAGAAGAGTATGAATCAGATCAGAGCTCTGCTTCTGCGTTTGATGACCTGCAAGCTTTCAAAATGCCCATCTAAGCCTCCACTGCAAAGCGATCAACTCACAGCTGTCAGAAGTGTAGGTAAAGGCAGGCATCAAGAGTTACTGGCCTATGAAAACAATGTGGTCAAGACCCAGCTGCTAAGATCAGTGCATTCCACCTGCTTCTTCTCATCCTGCCTTGCTCACTTACTGTTGAAATATCAGAGGCTCCAGTGGCTGAGTGGCAGAGTCCCCTGAGATGAGCAGTGTCTGAGAAATATAGGAGCTATCTTCAAGACATTAATAATGGAGTAATAGGTCCATCTATTTCTTCTTCCCCCAAGTCCAGAACAGTTAGTAAGGCAGTGGATACCTAAGAAGCCAGTACCTAGTGAGGTAGGAGATGTATGGTCATGCATGAGAAAGGGGGACATCCAGGTTCCTGGACATGCATTCTGCTTGAAGACACATCCCAGACTGACACTTTTGAATTAAAAGTTTAAAATCTCTCCTTTTCTCTTTCCCTTTATGATTCACTAAGTATTAAATATTGAGACATGAAAAAGACACTGAGCTATTTTATGAAAATTAAAGAACATTCCCCATGTTTCGGGTGGGGGAGTATAAAAGACTCTACCATTGTGATTTGCTTTGCAGCCACCATTGTTTTCCAGGGACAATAGAAACTGCAAAGCCTCTTTGGGAAGGGAAGAGCAACTCAAAAATGGGTGGTGTACCACTAAAAACCTGTCTCTGTTTTCAAATCCATCTCTATCTTAGGAAGTTAAGAAGCTTGCATCAAAAGCATCCTGTCAAGGGGTTGGTAATGTGGCTGGCCAATGAAGGACACTGGGAAAGCAAAACTGGACCAGCACTGGGAAAGTGGACACAGAAAGACTCTCTAGGGCTTGCTGGTTGGCCAACCAGTCCAGCAAAATTGACAAATTATAGATTCAGTGAGAGACTGGATAAAGTGAACAACAAGGATAAAGTGAACAACTGGATAAAGTGAACAAAAGGATAAAGTGAACAACACTGAGGATGACACTCAGCTAGCATCCATCATGCACATTCATAAAGCCATGCACCAAAACAAAAGCACCTTTTCAGACCCTGGAAAAGCCTCCATTGAGGTGTGTGTGTGTGTGTGTGTGTGTGTGTGTGTGTGTGTGTTTCTTAGCATGATTCCCAAACCGATGGCACCACAGAACCAACTAGAAATGCAAATACTCAGTCCCTATGCCAATCCTACCAATTCAAGAACTCTGGCTAGAGCCAGATGGTCTGGGTTGTCACAAGGCCTCCAAGTGATACTGAGGCATGGTCAGGTTTGAGAACCACAGTCCTGCTAAAGCATATATAGCTTCTATGGAAAGCACAGCTCCCAGGCCATCAATATAACTTAATGGACCAAAGTGCTCACCTCACACACCTGACAACCTGAGTTCAACCCAGGAACCCGCAGTGAAGGACAGAACTGACTCTCAAAAGTTGTCTTCTGATCTTCACATGAACACCATAAAGCATGCAGTCTGCTCTCTCTCTTCCCCCTCCCTCCTCTTGCTCTCTCTCTCTCTCACACATACACACAAAACATTAAAAATAAAAATACTTTATAAAAAGACAACCATACTCCTTAAAATATTTAGCATGTGTTGTTTCTGAGCTCTCCCCCATGCAGTCATTACTGGTGAATTACAGAAGTCAATGCAAAAAAAAATGATGTTTGACAGAATTTTAAAAAAATAACTATCTGAAGTCAATCTAAAGTGACTTCTTAACTACTGTTGAGCTTCTGATCTTTAACAAACTGATCCCTAGAGGGTCTCTCACCAAGTTTGTCAAACACCATCCCTATTACCAACACCCTAATAACACAAATCTGGCAGTTATAAAACGTTCACATTTGCTGTTGAGACTAAGTGGGATCTTATCACCTGATTTTGCAGGTGAAGTCTGAAGGAGAGCTTTGCAGACTTAATGAGGTTCATTTGTTTTATTTATGTCTAAAGTGAAACTATTCACACTAGCATAAGGTGATTAAGAAGCAAATTAGAGTGACTAAAACAATAATGTTTACTTGGTTTCAATAGTGCGATTAGCACCATTCCCAGTTCTCATGGAGAGGCCATCAGGAAGTAGGAGCCCCGTTTCCCTTAATGTGCAGCACCAGAACAAAAGTCAAGAAGCAAAGCACAGTGTACACTTGTGACAATGCCCCTCATTGTGAGATTAGCTGAGAAGGTGAAATACATATAATCATTCAGTTTTTTATCATCTCAGACTCAAGGGAAAGTGCTGTGTCAAAGAAGATTTCTTGGGCAAGGAATGAATGTCTTGACTCACGTACAAGTTCATTTCAGAATCATGAACATGTACCTCAGTAAGAGAATGTTTGCCATAAGGCCCTGTTCAGTCCTCAGCACCACCAAAAAATATGAGTAAATAAATCACTAAGGGTGACAAACATCCCTGGGATAGCCATGTTGTGGGCTATGATCTCTAAGCCTTTCTGTATTGTCAATTAAATCTAATAGCATTGATTTTTTCTCTGTGATAATGTCCTACTAACCATGAAATTGTTTGAATGGCTTCCTTTTCCCCCAATCAAATATGGGGGAGTACATGCCAATCACATGTAATTAGTACATTAGTAAGTTGGTTTTACAATAAACAAAATTCAACAGCCAGAATTGAATGCAGTTCAAACTTGTAGTGAAAATAGCGTGAGACATTATCAAAGACAGCCCAACAGGCGCTCTGTGGTGGCCAGTGAGTCTATCCTGGGGTACCTGGGATTTAAGAATGACAGAACTAGGAACATTTCTTGAAAAATTAGGTTTTTTTTGTTTTTTGTCCAGTAGATTTGAAAATATAAGCATATACTTAGAACTCGAAGTCTCCTTGTTGTTGACCAATTTACTTTTTTCCTCCTGTGATTGGAAAGGACTGAAAAAAAAGGAGAATAGAATTTTACTCTTTGGGTGATATTTTTTTACAAATTGAGGTAGAGGCTCTTTCAATTTTTCAATAGAATACTTTTATTATTTACAAAGAAGGGAAAATGACCATTTAAAAGCTGACAGAAGTATAGTGCTGACATTGCCAAGACTTTGTGTAATCAACTTGGTAGACTACAAAGGATTTCCTTAACTTCAGCTGGAACCCCAAGAAGGCTCATAAGCACAATCATTTGTTTGGTCTCAAGATGACTGGGTTATGCAATCTGAGGAATGTTCCTATAGATGTTCTGCAGTGAAACAGCAATCTGCCAACTGGCATAGTTCATCATCACATGTCACTCAAGATCTGGGAAGCTGAAGGTTTTGAATGGGTCATTTATACAGCCTTGATATTTCCAATTCAAGTGGTCTATAACAGTGTGTGTGTGTGTGTGTGTGTGTGTGTGTGTGTGTGTGTGTGTGTGTACTCATGGGTGACACAGAACTGAGAACACTATGATTCAACTGTAATCATTGGATTTTTTCCAGGGGAGTTCACTATGTTAGGACGACCAACATCTGGGCTGTCCTTTAGTTGATACTAAAGTTACTTTGAACAGTGATTATTACAAACTGAATAATTTAATAGGGAGCAATACACTTGCTAATATGGCATCTGATTTTTGTGGGAATTTTCATGATTGGGGAGTCTCAAACTCCAGAGCCTGTGAGACAGGTAATGCAAACTAGAGATATGGCCAGGTAAACCTCCACCCAGCTGAGAAAAATGTTGGTTGGCAACTGCCAGCTGATGTCAGCTGTTTGAGTTTTCAAGAGAGAGCAGAAATCCAAACTGCACTGTAAAACTTGCTTAATTTTAAAAAGTGATGGAAGGTCTGGAGAGATGGCTCAGTCAGTAAAGTGCTTGCCGAACTGGAATGAAGACCCCAGTTTGATCCCCAAGTGCAGCAATGGGCACCTGCACTCCCGGCTCTGGGGAATCAGTGGCAGAGGAGGCAGGCTGGCTGACCTACTGCATCACCAAGCTTCTTCTTCCGTGAGATCATGTCTAAAAAAATTAAAGTGGAGAGCAATTGAGAAAGACACCTGATGTTGATCTCTGCCCTCCACAGACATGAATATGCATATACACAGTCACACACGTGCACACACACAACCATATTAACTTCTGCAGATCTTTGAAGACCCTATGACCAGACAGAACCAGCAGGACTTAACCTGTGAGCCACAGAGTTCTGCAAACACCCACTGAATAACAGCCAACCAACTTCTAATTGAGGAGCCTGTTCTGCACAGTGGGGCTTCGGTGGCCACATCCATCGTTGTGCTTGTTGCTTCTTGAGCAGACAGCTTCCTCCTGGTAGAGATTTGATTTGGTGGTGTCAGCATGTGAGGTTGCTGTCACTTCATTCATAACGTGTCTTGTTTCAGGCCTGATGGAATCGGAACTGTGACTGTTGAAGAAAAAGAGCGCTTTGAAGAAATCAAAGAGAGACTCCGAGTTCTGCTGGAAAATCAGATTACACATTTTAGGTAAAGGATCTGCAGTTTAGGGGCCTCTTGGTGTAAGAATGGAGATGCACAAAAAAGCTTCATTAAAAAAAAGAAAACACCAAACTTTAAGTCTATCAAAGATGCATAAGAGCATTCAAACAAAATAGCTAAAGGATAAAGGTCAACCAATTGATACGCCTCTCATTAAAGTCCTGACTTGACATTCTTTCTTTCTTTGGTATTTGTTTTGAGGTGGAGATCTCGCGTAGCCAAGGGTTATCTTGAACTCCTAATACTTCTGCCTCCAGCACTTGAATGCTGGGATTATTAAGTGTACCAACACATACCCAGGTTTTATGCCATGCTGAGAATTGAACCCTGGACTCCATGAATGCTAGGGCAAGAATTCTACCAACTGAAGTATATCCCTGGCCCAAATTTTAGATTCTTAAGAGCATTTTAGTTGCTTAAAGAACAATGTGTCCCTTGTGCCTCTGACTGATAACTAATGTCATATAAAAAGTTGAAGATCTTCAAGGTTCCTAGATAAAACTAGTTTTTAAAACTCCTACAGTTTGGGTCATAGTGAATGGGGTGAAGTTCATGGTGCTCATATTTCCCCACCCCTGCTAGCTGTGCACAAAAAGAAGGAAGCCTGGTTGAGCCTGCTTGGGGGTTGGGGTTAGAGACCAGATATTCAGCAGCAAATCACGCACTTGCCCTTCCCACTATGCAATCCACTTCTCCAGTCGAGCATATGGGACATTTTTACCACAATAATGTTGGCTCCACACGTAGACTCTGAGACAGGAACTTCAAGACAGTAATTGTGCATCTAATAGTTCCCATATGCCAGTTACAGGATTGGAGGTTAACAAGGTACTAACTTTTGTCTTTATCTATAAACAATTGTGTAAGGTAAGTATAATCTCGAATTAAACAATGAGGAAAATGAGGGCAAAAGGAACACGTTCCCGGCAGCCACCTAAGTCAAAGTAGAAGCAGCCCATCCTGTTCTCTATACTGCTGAACAGGGTTTGAAGGATTCTTGACAGCCAGAAGCCATTGATGGCACCTGTAGCAGTAACTGACATGCTTCCATCTGTGCCATCATAATTCTCCTTTGTATGGAATAAGATTTTGATGAAGGTCCTTTAACTGTCCATGCATTGTAGATGAAACGTATCAACAATAGAGCAGAGATCCAATAACAGTGAAAAAAGTCCCAAGCAAGTTAGGCAGAATGCATGTCTGCTTCACACTTCAACCTGTTAGAGATCTAAATATGTGTGTTGGGCTTCCAGCTGATTTTAACTCCTGGCTTTCAATGTTGTGCCCTATAATAATACATGAGGTCATGTTTTTGTTAACTAGTGTTTTCCTTCACAATGGAAATCCAAACAGAGCTCTGTGTCACCACTCTCAATATTCTGTTCTGTTGCAGACATTTGCCGAGTCCCTCTTAAGTCATTATTCACACATACATATATATATATTATATATACACATATATGGTGTGAAGTAGGATTAGCATAACACAGTGTGACAAAATAAAAAGCATTTTCCATTCCTCAGTGCAAGTTGCTATAGGAATCAAATTGAAGCATGTTTCCTGCTAAAATGTAATAGTGTGGGCAACCTGAAGAATTATGTGTCTTTTTTAGGTATTGCTTTCCATTTGGTCGACCTGAAGGTGCTTTGAAAGCTACTCTCTCACTCTTGGAACGGGTAAGAATGAACGTGAGATGTATAAATGGACACACAAATAAGTGCAATCAAACGTTGCAGTTGGATGACCTAGTTTGTAATTTTCAAAGGGTTTGTTTACCAGTCATGAAATACCAGAATAAAAGTGAGGAAACTGCCAAAATTCTAGAAGCTTTATTTTCAGATTCCCAAGTAGTTACACTGAAGAGTCACTGCAGGCCCTTTCTTAATACTTCCACAGGCTTTGCCACCCCAGCTGTTCTGGGGTTTTCTTTCTACCCACGGTTTTCAGATTAGTCAGCATCAAGGATTTTACACCTGAAGTCTTTGAAAAGCAGAAGTGGGTGACACATTGATTACTAATTTAATAGTCCCCTTTCCTTCTGCCTGAAGGTTTTGATGAAAGACATTGTCACTCCAGTACCACAAGAAGAAGTCAAAACTGTCATCCGTAAATGCCTAGAGCAGGCTGCTCTAGTCAACTACTCACGCCTGTCGGAGTATGCCAAAATTGAAGGTAAGGTTTCCACCTGACACTGGTTTTGAATTTAAATTTTGGTATGCCTTTCTGGGAAAATCTGTCTCTTTTCTTGATGGACACAAGAAAACAGTGGTCTATCTGATTACAGGAAGCTGAACATACTTGAAATGTGAAAAATGTCTTGGCTGTGGCCAAATAAATAGATGATAGAAGGGACATCAGCTCAGGAGACAGCCTTAGGAGGGAACCAACATTGAGTGTGGGATGTTATGTAATTACTAAGGCCCATCTGACAGTTTGTGTTGCCTTAGATGTCTTCTCTGAGGATAATGTTCACCTGTGGAAGAGTTGGGTAGCATTGTTATCTCCTCTAAATGGAGGAAAAGGAAGCAACATGCTATCTACTGCCAATAGTATTAACAGTAAAAGAAACGCTGAATAATTCAATATTCAGGTTCTACTTAACTCTCTCTTATCCCTTGGAAGTTTCTTGTCTTTGGGAAACAATTCAAATTTGGTGGCAGGGTAACATGGAATCATCTCCAGGAGCTCTCAGTTGACTCTGGACTTCGTTCTTTCTTGTTACCAGAGAGATATAGGAGGTGTATTGCTACTGCTATCTCAAGTTCTAGGGAAGCAGTCATTGATGACTGCATAATTAAAAGGAACTTTGAATAAATTCAACTCAAGAAGCTATGGTTCTTTGGGACCTATTCATTCTCAAAGGCATTAATCACTTTTCATTGTTACCCCCATTGGCTGCTATAGGGTGATTTGAAAACCACACCCAACCTGACCAGTGGTGTAAGTGTATACATGTGGAAGTTCTGTGTTCAAGACTCAATGTGTTCACACTCTGGAATCTGATGTTCTCTCACATACAAAACACATGACACCCAAATAATGCAAGCAAAGGCACACTGTCCACCTTGGGATATCAGCTGAGGAACAGCTGATTAACACACACAAACCATCACATGTACTGCCAATGTCCTGTTGCCTTAGAAAATTAGCTGACAATCATGTTAAATTCCCAGTGTTCTGTACACTACATGTCTTCCTCCCTCTCCCGATTCTGTCTGTGTGACAATGCAAATTGTGTACCAGTGGTAATGAGTTCATTGTTATGCATCCAGGGAGAAACACTTAAGAATTGGGCACTAGAAGGGTGTTTATCAACTCTTGACTTGGTAATGAGTGACAAAAATAGAAGAACAAGAAGATCAATGGTTAAACGGCTTTATTAGCAAATAATTGTTCCAGCATTCCCAGCCCAGGATATAATGATTGGTTGGATTGGGTAAAGTCAACCATGTAACTACTACTAATCCTAAAGCCAAAGATGCGATGGGATCAAGAAATGAAATGTTCAGTTTCCACGACTGCTGCCTCATAGGTCTTGGTCCAGCTACTATTAGTCTTTTGGTAAGATCTGCTCTCTTCTTTCAGATAAATAAATTTTTTTATAAAACCAAACTTTGCGATCTGTAAGTAAAAATGCATTCATTTCCAAAGTAGATCAGCTGGTCTGTAATTTCCCTCTGTGCCTCAGTTCTTCCTGGTTGTGTTAATTATCTTTTGCACTGTGACTTTTAGGTCTGGGGATTCTTTGAAGAAACCAATCTTTTTATTCCAACTCTCTTTTCAGAGAAGTACCTCATTCCACACTACTTGCTCTCTTCTGCTTTTCTCCTTCCTTGTCCGTGATTGGCTCAGCCACTTTTTGATACAAGCTCTGCAAAAGTGGCTGAGACACCAATTTCAAAGCATGCTGGGATTGTTAATTCCAACAACCCCACATTCTCTGGCTGCATGTGTCAGGTTTTCTTCCATGAACATAGTCCACTCTAGGCTGGGACATTGCAGCTTCAAAGATATTACTACCAGACAGCTTTCTTTGAACAAGGCTCAGGTCCTACCTTCAGAAAAGAAATCCTCCATTTTCTTTTCTTTTCTTTTCTTTTCTTTTTTGGCACTTGAGCCTCTATTGATCATTAACAGCTCATCTATCTGAGAATTTTGGAAAGAAGCTGTAGTAATATTGCTGGAGACTATGTTTATGAAGAAATACCTCAAGAGCCTTAGATACTAAAGTCTGAAATCCTTAGTATCTCGGAGCCTTAAATCAATGAAATTCTGTTTCCCTTTACCCATGATGTTTTTGGTCATTGTATTCTTGCCAATGACTCTAAAGAGACGTGTAAAATCATGGTCACAATCTCTCTCGTGGCTCACGGCATGCTGAATGGTTAATCCAGTAGTTCCAAATTTCAAAACTCCCTTTTCTTTTATCCTGTGTTTATCCCAAAATACTCTGTGGCTATTTTTTTCCTTGAGCAAATGTAACGTTTTCCTCTAACCTATGACCTTTAACCTCTTTACCTCTGACCTAAGCCTCTTGCATGCCCAAATCCTCTTTTATAGGGAAAAAGAGAGAAATGTATGAGCATCCTGTCTTCTGCTTGGCCTCCCAAGTGATGGATTTAACCATTCGTGAGTACCTACCACCTCCTCACCATGCTGTCTTCACTCTTTTCTGTTTCCATTATTTCAAGAAATCCAGATCCAAACCAACTCACTCTCCTTGCTTCAAGTTTTTTAGCATTGGCTTGTCTGTTGGTTCTGTCTGTGAAACCCAGTGTGAGAAGTCCAGTCACTTTTTATCAGCCTAAAACAGGTTAGACAATTAAGCCATTTGTTTGTGATAAACTCAGATTTGTCTGTAAGTTTTTTTCAGTTATTCTGTCTGTGACCTGAATGCATTTTTACTTTGCTTGTGTGTAACCCTAATTTGTAAAGTACTTGTCACTGGTACACAATCAAAAGGTAGCAGCTAAGCTGGGGAGCAATGCACTAGTGTCAGAAAAATGACATCTGAGGCAAAGTCATGCTTTCTTTATCCATGTTTAAGATGTCAAACTACGATGGGTATGAGATCATGCAAGATGATCCGTACTCTGTGAAGGCTAGATCTTCTATGCTTCCTATCTAGTCTCTCTCAAGCTGGGAAGTTTTCCTCATTCTCTCTGGAGAGTTTTACTTGCCCTTGTCCTCAAAGCTCTGGCTAGAACATATGACTTAATTGTCATTTGAAGAGTTCATGTATGTTTCATAGCTTGATTTCATATTAAACTTAATTTACTAATTTTCTATTTGTGCAGCATTTTCCACATCTGTGAAGGAGAATTTTTTTTGCTGGCCCCAAACTTTGGGGCGGTGGGAAGCCAAGGGCAACTTCTTCTGTCCAATATCATATATCACGCATAAGTGGGGGGCATTTTGGTCCACTTGCTCATTAATCTTGCATATGTGTTCTTGTTTCTCTTTCTCTTCTCTCCTCATTGTGCTCTCTCTTTCAAATAGAGAATCAGAAGGATGCAGGTGAACCGATTGTATATGCCTTATCAATTTCCAGGACTGTTGAGTTACATTCAGTTTGTGTTTTTGTTTTTGTTTAGTAGCTCCTTAAGGTATGTACTCCCGGAGAGCAGTGTGGAGTTGCAATGACACTTAAGGAGTTAATTTGTGCTGTCTAAATGCATTTCATGCCCATTCACTGTTGGCCTTTGGAGAGCAGCATTTCCGTAAAGGCATAAGTTTGAAGGGACAGAGTTCTGGTTTGCTGCAGAACTTCCTTCAGCCTTGGTTTCGGGGTCTAGTGATTTGGTCTTGTGTGTGTGTAGTGTTTTGTTTTGTATATTTAAAGACAGAACCAAATGAATCTTCACTCTTATTTTTCTTTTTTTCTGTTTCTGGCCTTATGGAGAAGTTTGTGTTCTTTGATGAATGTTTACTGGTCAAGAAGAAGTAGTAGTGTCTATGTTGTGCTTGTATGTGCTGTGTGATAGTCAGAATGACCAAGCAGGAGCTCTGAGAAAGGTCTATGGCTTTGAAAATATCTTCTTGTTTATTCTCAAGTCTTCTGTGCCTTTTTTTTAGGTGAGAGCTCTGAAATGAAATAGGAATGAATGTATTTTATCAATCAGTGTCTTTAACAGCTACAAGATTCCATAAAGATGTCTTATTTAATCCCACATAACAGTTGAACATAATTCAAAACAATTCAGAAAGCATTTTAACTTGTGCCAAACACCAGGTTAGCAGTAAATATTTCAAGATTCAAAACTGTGCTCAAAACATATGTGCCCCCGCAAATGGAAGGTATCATTCACTCACTCATTCATTCATGCATGCATCCATCCATTCATCCATTAGGCAAGTACTTGGCGAGAGCCTATCTTGCAGCAACTATAGTGTGAAAAGTCAGGAACTATCCAAATGAGAGGGAAACAACTGTTATCTTCATGGAGCACCATTGCATATGTGTAAACTGCATTCAATATATTACAATCCCCATTGATTATGTGTCAGAGGAATATGACATTTTCAGAAAACCATACACACATTCAAAGATAATAAGGTTTCAAGTGGACATCAAACATGCTACATTGGATATGTGGAAACTGGAGATTTGAAGGTATCCTGCAAAGAGCAAAATATGTCAATGGACAAAACTATACAGCTGATAAAAATAACATTGTTCTATAAAACACTTATACCATGCATTCTATAAACTAGGTGTGGTTTGCATGCATTTAACACATTTAACCTTCAGAACCTCTTATGTAGTTACTTCCATTGTACAGATGAATGAACAAAGCTTAGAGAAACACAAACACAGTCCTAGAAGCAATCCCAGGCAAAGATCACATGCCTACTTACGCTAAGTCAGCATGGCTCTAAAACAGGGTCAGATTAAGTGGCAAGGTAAGCGGAAACTGGATCACTATGGCCTTTCCATACCATACAAAGACAGTAATCTGGCTAGGAATGGCGGCATGAATATATAGCCCTAGCATTCAGGAGGTGGAGGCAGCAGCCCAACCTGGACTATAATGAACTTATGGCAAGCCTTCACTTCATAGGAAGACCTGTGTTTAACAAGGAAATCGTTATGGCTGTATACAGTGGTCCAAAGTCCTTTCCCCAGGAATCTGCGCATTCATACAGACTTTCAGAGGAGAGACTCTGCACAT